TCCCCCACAGGATGCACGGTTGCAAACTGTCGCACTAAGTAGAGGTCTGGAGCCAGAAACCCTTCCTCACCCCCCCCCTTCCGCCAAATGTGGAAACGTCGAAAAAGAAAACGCTCACCTATCAGAGACCACGACCAACGACATAAACCATGGCCAAAGACCACGAGGCATGACCAGAGATCACGAACCACGACCAGACACCACGACCAGAGACCACGGACCGCCGATTTTTGATCGCGAGATCCACCTGCCGGATATAATGATTCCAGTTCGGACCCTTCGTGCAAAGTTTATTCGGTAGATGACGGTTTGTCATCGTGTGTTGTTGGTTCTGGAGGCCGCTTCCTGTCCTCCGGTCCCCGCGACCGTGAAAGAATGTGGCCGAATGGGAAGCCGGCTCTGGGGGGCCACGTGACATAAAAACATAATGTCAGGGACGCGGGTTTCCCCTCGTCGTCGTCTTCGTTTTTATTTTTACGTATCCGTGGTATATGTGTATATTTTGATGTGTATATGTATATCAGATGTATAGATATTTGTCAATGTATATGCATATGTATATGTAGATGCATATGCATATGTATATGCATATATATATATATATGTATGCAACCATGCATGCATGCATGTATGTATGGATGTATGTACGTATGTATGTATGTGTGTATTCATGTATGTATGTATGTACGTATTTGTGTATATGTATATGCAGATAAAACATGTATATGAATACTTTTGCAAAGTTGGCCCTGTTGATGCATATGTGTATGTATATATGTATGTATGTATGTATGTATGTATGTATGTATGTATGTATGTATGTATGCGTGTGTAATGCATGGATGCATGCATGGATGCATGCATGTATGTATGTATGTATGTATGTATGTATGTATGTATTTAGGTCTGTATATATGTATGCATGCATGCAGGTATCTATCGATCTATCTGTATATATATATATATATATGTGCATGTATGTACGCATGTGCGCATGCATGCATGTACGCATGTGCGCAAGTACGTGCGTACGTGCACCTACGTACGTACGGTGGGTTCGCGTCGTGTCGCCAGGCGGCGACCCCGCCGCCAGCGTTCAAAGTTGAACACCGCCGGCGACCCAGACTTTGTCGATGTGCGATGGTCCGACGTTCCCGAAACGGCCGATCGTTCAAGGCTGAACGATCCCCGCGGTGTCACGACACGGATCCGCGGTTCGTAAGTCTGTTTGTTTGCTTGTCTGTCTGTCTGTCTGTCCGTCCGTCTGCATGCATGCATGCATGCATGCATGTATGTATGTATGTATGTGTGGGTATGTATGTTTGCATGTAAGTCTGTGTGTATGTGTGTGTGTGTACGTGTGTATGCGTGTATGTAGTACATACGTGCTTATGTATGTATATGTGTAATGTACGTTTGTTTGTATGTATGTATGTGTGCATGTATGTATGTATGTAAGTATGTGTATGTGTGTGCATGTGTGTACGTGTGTACATATGTACGTACGTTCGAATGTATGTATGTATGCATGTATGTATGTACCTGCGTATGTATGTATGCATGCATGCATGCATGTATGTATGCAGGTGAATATGTATGTATGAATGTATGTATGTATATATGTATGTATGTATGCATGTACGTGTATATGCATGCCCGTGTGTACATATGTATGTATACATGTATGTATGTGCTTGTATGTCTGTGTGTATGTGTTGCGTTATACGTGTATATATAGTTGTGTATTTATGTGTGTATGTATGTGTATATGTAAATGTATATGTGCACGTATATGTATATGTATACGCACATGTATATGTATATGTATATGCATATGTATACGTATATTCAGCCGGAAAATCTCATGTATGTGAATGTGTATGTGGATGCGTATGTGTATGTGTATATTTAATTTAATCAGGTTAATTTATATGTATATGTATATGTACGGTCATATGTATATGTATATGTATGTGTATGTGTATGTGTATATGTGTATGTACATGTATACGTATAAGTATGTGTATAGGTGTATATATATGTACATTTCCATGCATTTTCATATGTATAGTTGTATGTCTATATTTATGTAGGTGTAAATGCACATGTAGATGTATATGTAGATGCAGTTGTAGATGTATATGTATAGGAAGATATATATGCATATGTATATGTACTTGTATATGTACATGTACATGTACATGTATTTGTATATGTATATGCATATATGTATATAAATGTATATATGTGTGTGTGCGTATGTGTATATGCATGTGTATATGTACATGTGTATGTATACGTGTGTGTACATGTACATGTACAGGTATATGTATACGTATATGTATATGTATGTATATATATATGCATGTGTAAACGTATATGTATATGTATATGTATATATAGAGGTAGATGCATATGGATATGTATGTGTACTTGTATATGTATATCTAGATGTAGCTGTAGACATACATGTTTTTGTATTTGTATCTGTATCTGCATATGTACATGTATGCGTATGTGTACGTGTCTATGCATACGTATATGAAAACGTATATGTATTTGGATATGTATGTGTATGTGCAAGTGCATGACTATGTGTATATGTCTATGTAGATGTATAGGTTGTTTCTTGTGTATATGCATATGTATATGTATATGACTATGTAGATGTATATGTATGTGCATATGTATATGTGTAAATAGATGTATGTGTCTATGTAGATGTATATGTATAGGTATATATATATGTGTATATATGTATATTCACATGTAAATGTACGTGTACGCGTATATGTGTATGTATATGCTTAGATCTAGATGTATATGTTTATCCTTGTGTGTATGTATATGTATATGTAGATGTATACGTATATGTATGCGTATAGGTACATTTACATGTATAGGTACATGTACAGGTATAGGTATAGGTGTATGTATATGTATATGTAGATATACACGAATATGTATACGTATATGCTGTTGCATATATATATATATATGTATATGTGTATGCACATGTATATGTATATGGATATGTATATGTAGATGTAGCCGTATATGTATATGTATATAAACATGTATATGTACATGAAGGGGTATATGTATATGACGATGTATATGTATGTGTATGTGTATATGTACGTGTATATGTATATGTAGATGTACATTTGTATGTATATATACATATGGATTTGAATATGTAGATGTATACATACATATGTATAGGTATATGTATATGTATATGTGTATGTATATGTCTATGTATATTTTATGCGTATGTATATGTAAATGTATATGTATATGTATACGCATATGTATATGTATACGTATAGGTATATTTAGATGTATATGTTGATGTATGTGTTCATGTGTAGGTAGGTACATGTATGTACATATTGATGCATGTATGTATGTATGTATGTATGTATGTATGTATGTATGTATGTATGTATGTATGTATGTATGTATGTATGTATGTCTATATCTATATATATATATATATATATATATATATATATAGATATGTATTTCCGGGTTCTGGGTCGGCTCTGGGCTCCCCAGGGACCCTCCCCAGCGGCCCGAGAGCCGCCCAGACGTCCTTCAGAGTGGCGTCAAAGAGACGCCAGAAGGCTTCCAGATGTCCCGCGTGGCTTCCGGACGGCCCCAGATAGCTGCAAGACGGCCCAAGAGAATTCGACGAGCGCTCCTCAGAGGGCCCCAAGAGGCAAACATCATTGAACTTCCATAGGTTTTTCAATGTGTTCGGGGTTCTCGACTTTCGAGCTTCCGACGCTCCACGACGTCCCAAGAGGCCCTTAAGATCGCCCCAAGACGGTCCAAGAGGCCTCCAAGAGGGTCCCGAGACGGGCCAAGAGGGTCCCAAGACGGCCCCAAGAGGGGTCCAAGACGGCCCCAAGCGGCCCAGGAGCAGGAGCCCGAAAGGACAATTCGAGCCTTCCGTCCGAAGATGGCTCCAGACGCCTGGAGGCCCCACAGATCTCCAGAGTCCGGAGGCCCCCGAGGCCCCAGAAAAGCAAACACGCCCCAGAACGTGCAGTCGTCCGATCACGTCCGCAGATGACGACCACCACCACCACGACCATTACGACGACCACCACGACGATGATCGCGACGGCGGCGGCGGCGGCTGCGGCGGCGGCGTCCGTGGGGGCGGCGGCGGCGGCGGCCTGGCGGCTCGGAGCCTCTGGGGCCCTCCTCGGCCACGTGGCAGTCACGTCACTCGCGCAGTATGGGAAACACTTGGAGCCTTCCGACGCGTCGCTCGTCCATCCTCGCACGGCTCCGTGACCGCCTACCGAATCCGAAGCTATCCCTCAGAAGGCCCAGCACCCCCACGCGATAAGCGCGGCCCTTGCTTGGAGAACCCCTCCATGGGTATCTTGGGGTTCGTGGATTAGCGCAAGGTCCACTAACAACAACTGCACAGTCGGCTAGATCCTAAGCGCGCATAGCGCCCGCGTGGTTCATACACACATATAGATACATATGCATATGCATTTGTGTAGGTGTTTAGTTTATGTTTGTATATGCAACTATACATGTTTCGTTTTATACGTTAGGTGCGTATCTGTATGCAAGCATGCATGCATGCATGCATGCATATACGTAAACAGCTATGCATGTATGTACATCAGCATGCATGCGTGCATGTTTGTCTGTATGTTTGTTTATGTATATGCATGTACGAATACATGTACTATGTGTGTATGTCTGCATGCATGCATGTATGCATGCATGAACGTAGGTATGTATGCATGCACGCGCGTGTTTATGTGTGTAATACGTAGATATATACATATATGTGTATATAGAGATGCATTTATATGTGTAAAAAATGCAGATGCGTAATTTTGCAATATTGGCCCTGTTGATGCTTCCAATTACATCCAGGGACCGCCAGACCTCCGAAGGGCATCTCTGGGGCCCAAAACAAGCACATGTTTTTTCCAGCGCCAGCCAGCGGTTACACGTGACAATCGGGTTCGGGTTCGGGCAGTATTTCTGCTTGCTTCTGCAGGGCTTGTTTGGCTGCTGATCTGCAACCCATCAGAGTTGGTCCTCTTCGGCTCCAGGAGATCGGCGTGCCCCTGGTCCAGAAGCTGCTGGGGGAGACCGAGGTCGCTTTCGGCCCCGTCAACCTGCAAAGCCTCTCCACGCACCTCCACTCCGAGGCCAGTGGCTGGGGAAGAGAATAACCTCCTCCCCTCCTCCCTCCTCTCCCCACCTCCATCCCCCTCCTTGCTCCCTCCATCCTCCCTTCTCTCCCGTCTGGAGGCTGATTTGGCGACTTGGACCGATACTTCGGCGATTCGGGGCCCTCGAGGACCGTCTTGGGGGCATCTTGGGGCAGTTTTGCCGCGTCTTGCGGCTTTTCTTGGCCGCCCAACCGCCCGAGGGGGAGTCCTATCTGCCCCGGGCCCCCCCCAGGACCCCCCCCCGGGACCCCCCGGGACTTCCCGGGACCCCCCCCCCAGAACCCACCCCCGGGACCTCACCCCCGGGACCCGCCCCCCCCCTTGGCGGGGAAGGGATCAAAGGGAGGGGGCTTCCCTTCGACTCAACTACAACGTTGCTCAATTTCGCTGTGGCTGGCGTGTTCGAGGAGGAGAACCCGGTGAAAGTGGGGGTAACGGCGACGGGCCTAGGGAAAAGGAGGGAAGCGAGCGGCGAAGGCGACGACGACAACGACAACGACCACGACGGCGACGACGAGTCAAACGGAACAGCCTCTTCCACACGCCGACAGGGTCGGCGGATTCATAGTATTGTCAGGACTTACGTTTACAGTGCCGGATGAACGACTCTACGAGGGTAGATCTGGCCTGATGTGTTCAGAGCGTGCTTCTGCACTGCACAAATGATTTGACCATCTTAGGCTGTAGTTTTGAATGTTGGCGCAGACGCACAACGTGAACATGTTAGTCTGTTTTGAGCTGTCGGCTTCAGCAAGCCACGTGAACACGTTAGCCTTGACTGCCCTCCACAGTGATCCCGCGCGGCACATTTGCCGCGTAACGTGTTCAATGATGGCTTGACTGCTACGTGCGTGTAATTGCCAAGTCTGACGTTTCCAAAGTGGGCGAACCCACAGCAGGACGAATGCGGCACCACACATGTATACGTACAATCACGTTGTGGCATGCGTTGTTCACCGCATGCACATGTATATGTATCTGATGTACACGTGCGTATTAATGATGCGCTATTTCTTGTTTGGCTCCGTCGACCACGCGTGCGATCCGTGAAAGGCAGATCTTTACGGCTTCGGGTTTCCAGCTCTTTGCAACCCGTGATATTTTGAACCTTTGTCGTTTATTGCTCTGTTGATTTGGTTATGGGGGGCTGGTGCATCGCTGCCCGACGTGGAAACAAGTGATCTGGGAGAGCTGACTTCCACAACCATGCAACCATCTATGCCTACAGGGTCGGTCAGATTTCTCACTGTGATGTGCCACGTCCCAGCGAGGACGCGCTGGAGCTTGTGAAGGAGCACACCCTGAGCGTCATCGGAGATTGGGGCCCCAAGCAATGTGCACCGCCCGCAGCCTTCGCCCCCTCCCCATCCCAGGAAGGAGGAGTACATCAACATAGCGTGGATGGGCATCCAGAGAAGCATGCGCACCTACCGAATAATAATTACAATGGTCAACATAAAAGCACACTAAAGTAAAATGAGTAATGATAATAACAGGACACCTGAGAGTAAACACAGTAATGCTAATAATAACAAGACAACTTACAAGATTATTATCAGGCAGCAGGGGCCAGGGTCATCGTCCTGGCGATAGATTTCACCGGCGTCCGATCGGTTTTCCGACCAGGGACAAGTTCTCAATCACAGGTACGTTGGATGCTTGGCGCTGCGTTTTGCATCTGCGGCGCAAGTGCAATTATCAACGTTTGTACCTGGTCATCCGGGCGTGCCGAATTTTTTGTCCAAGGCACTTCGCGTGACCGCCTTGCCAGTTGCCAGTGCACTCTGACTTCGCCAGCGCCCAACGCCATTTTCACTCACAGACTTCCTCTCCCAATACTCTTCGTCCCCTCTTGTCACTGTTCTTTCCTCCTCGAATCTCCCATCCGTTTACCCCGAGAGAACCATGACGAGTCCCACGCAGGCGCAGGCGTGGCCGCCAGGCTTGGCGGCGCTCCTGGAACGTTGCCAGACGCCTCGCAGCCGGGCCGATTGCGATCTTTTCTCCATGAATGTGCGCTTGGCGACACACATTTCATATCAACAATCTTCAGCCCCACCGCCTTCCTGCGGACACGCTTTCTTCCTCTCGTGGCAGCCTCCCTTTGTCCTCCTCGATCGTGCGCCTCCCTTCCCTGCTGCTCTGCGGACAGCGGGCACGGGGCCAGAAAAAAAGAAGACAACTTACAATATTATTGATATTACTAGGAGTAATAAACTTAGTAATCACAGTCGTTATACTAATGCGATTATTAAGACTAGTAAGAATACGATGAATAGTAAGCTAATCCTTGCCAATCGCGATATTGATACTATAACCAATAATGATCATGTTCGTCGTAGTAGTCGTAGTAGTATT